GTCATAATGCCTGCTCATGTTTTATCCAGGCCTGGGAATAGCTTGGCCCAAGGGGGAGTGGGTGGGTGGAGAAGGATGCAGCTGTCTCTGCCTGAATGCTGGGTCCTCTTTGCTCAGGGTGTCAGTGCCACGTTTGTTTGTGTTCACAGGGGAAAAACACGGTCCAAATACACATTCAATAGTTAACAGTAGTTCTACTGCACATATTTAAATTTTTGACAACATACATATATAACTTGTATTATCTGAAGAATCAATAAAGATATGTTTTCTATCTGTACATGTATTTATTATTTTATTTTATTTTATTTTATTATTTATTTTTTGAGACAGAGTCTCCTTCTGTTGCCCAGGCTGGAGTGCAGTGTTGCAGTTTCAGCTCACTGCAACCTCCACCTCCTGGGTTCAAGCACTTCTCCCACCTCGGCTTCCCGAGTAGCTGAGACTACAGGCACACACCATCATGCCTGGCTAATTTTTTGTATTTTTAGTAGAGACAGGGTTTCCCCATGTTGCTCAGGCTGGTCTCAAACTCCTAGGCTCAAGCCATCGTCCTGGCTTGGACTCCCAAAGTGCTGGGATTACAGGCGTGAGCCACTATGCCAGGCTCCCATTGCAGGTTTTAAGTAGAATCTTTAAAAATGGCTCAGGCTGCTGGGTTGGAAATTGACCATGAAGAAGCAGAAAGTCTATGTAGGAGACAACTGATGTTAAGAATGGTCCAAATGGGTGGTGGTGGGAGTTCAGATTCTGAATACACTTTGAAATCAGGAACAACTGCTGGATAGGACATCGCATGTCTGAGAAAGAGAAGAGCCTAGGTTTTTGGCTGGAGAAACAAGGATAGCATAATCACTAGGCCTAGATGGAGGGAGCTGTGGGGAGGGTCAGGGGGTCAGTTTCAGATTTGTTAAATGTGAATTGCCTGTTAGACACCTAGTGGAGTGAGCCATTGGAGTTTGCGGGGCAGGACTCACCTATGTTTGAGGGAGAGTACTGAACTACAGATAAAAGTGGGGTTCATTGGCTGATCGATTTTTTTAAAACATGAGCCTGTCATGCCTGTAATCCCAGCACTTTGGGAGTCTGAAGTGAGAAAATCTCTCAAGTCTAGGGATTTGAGACCAGCCTGGGCAACTTGGCAAAACCTCATCTCTACAAAAAAAAATACAAAAAATTAGCCAGGCATGGTGGTGCATGCCTTTAGTTCCAGCTACTTGGGAGGCTGAGGTAGGAGGAGCTCAGGAGGTCGAGACTGCAGTGAGCCACGATCATGCCACTGCACTCCAGTCTAGGCAACAGAGTGAGACCCTGTCTCAAAAAACAGAACCCCAAGACTCAAAACACAGAAACATGAGCCTGGTGAGTCCAGTAGGAGAGTAGAGGTGGACAAAGAAGAGAGAACGTACAGCTGTCCCTCTCCTGGAAGGGGAGGAGGAACTGGCAGAGGAGCTGGGGAGGAGCTGACCAGTGACCTTAGCTTAGTGGGAGGGAAGGCACCAGTGATCTTGGCAGGTGCGGGCTCACAGGGTGGTGGAGGTGACAGCCTGCCTGGAGTGGGTTCAAGAAAGAAAGGCAAGAGGGAGATTAACGTCTAGTGAAAACTCTTTCAGGAGATTTTGCTGCAAAGGCAACAGAGAAACGAGGCAGTATTGAAGAAGGGGAAGTGGGTCAAGAGAGAAGCAACAGTACCTTTATGCTGATGGAAATGATCCCAGAGAGAGACGGGGAGGACAGCTGGAGGCATGTCACTGAGCCGGCAATCAGCAAGTGAATGAACGTGTGCCAAGTGTGATAAATGAAGCAGAGTAGGGGGTGGGGCCTTTTAGGGACTTAGGAAATCTGGGCAGGGAGGGTTTCTTTGGCAAGTGTCATTTTACAGAACCCTGGAGGTCCTGAGAGAGTGAGCCATGTGGATTCTGGGGAGAGAGCCTTTCAGGAAGAAGAGACAGCCAGTGCAAAGGCCCTGAGGTGGGACTGGCTGATGTACTGAAGAGACAGTGTGGTTGGATCAGAGCAAGAAGGGGTCGTAGTGGCACTTGCAGGTAGACATGTGTGAAATGTGCCAGACCTAGTGGGCCAGTAAGGACTTTGACTTTTAGCCAGTGAGAGCCAGGACCCATGAGCAGGTTGTGAACACAGATGTGATGGACTCTGTTCTTTTTTGTGATGGATTCTGTTTTTTGTTTTTTTTTTTTTTTTTTTTTTTTTTAGTTAAGGTCTTGCTCTGTCACCCAAGCTGAAGTGCAGTCATGAAAATATCAACCTGAGAAATCCAGACCTGCCCTCTGCCAAGGAAGAAAGTGGCCCAGGGTTCTAGACTGTCCAGGAGATCAGCTGGGTTGAGGTCTGGAGGGGGCTCCATTTCTGAAAGTGGAGCTGCCTACCCCTGTGCCTTCCGCTGGGCTCCAGGGGTGGGAGAAGGATGGCCGTCCCCAGAAAGAACAGAGTTTGCATATTTTGGATGGCAAAAGAGCTTCACCTGTAGGAGCAGCACTATGTAGGATATTTACACTGGACGTGCTCACTGTGAGGTGCTACTGGGATGGAGCCTGAGAGCAGAAGACGGGCCACAGGGCCACTGGTAGGTCCTGAGAAAAATTCTGCCTCTAGGGCAACTTCCAGGATAACCTGCCGCACTGGGGGTGCATCATTGATGAATTAATAACAGCAATGTGGCCAGATGCGGTGGCTCATGTCTGTAATCCCAGCACTTTCAGAGGCCAAGGTGGGTGGATCACCTGAGGTCAGGAGTTCAAGATGAGCCTGGCCAACATAGTGAAAACCCTTCTCTACAAAAATTCAAAAAATTAGTCAAGTATGGTGGCACACACTTGTAATCCCAATTATTCAGGAGGCTGAGGTGGGAGAATTGCTTGAACCCCAGGAGGCAGAGATTGCAGTGAGCCTAGATTGCATCACCGCACTCCAGCCTGGGAGACAGAGCGAGATTCCATCTCCAAAAAATGATGATAATAATAGCAACACTAACATAACAGTTCCCGTGAGTCATGAGGATGTTTTGTTTGTATCTGCATAGTGATTTAATCCTTACTACTACCCTGGGTGTAGATATGACTATAACCAGGCCCCCACTTCCCATGAGAAAACAGGCACTGAGAGGGCACAGGACACGTGGAGGAGCCGGGATTTACACCCAAGCGCTTCCTCTGCGCTCTTCGCCACTACGCTCTGCTGCCTCAAAAGAATGGTCAGTTAGTGTTAGTAATAATAACATTAACCAGTTTCATTGTTTGGGGTTTCATGTAGTCCTTGCACAAACCTGACCTAGGGCCATGATTCCAGTTTTGCAGAGTGGCGAATCCGTCACAGAGCTAGTGAGAGGCCACACCAGGCCTCCAGTCCAGCTGGTCCATCTCTCGGGCCTCAGCTCAGCACCATGTCCTCGTACTGCAGGCCTCAGTAGTCAGTACCAGGCGTCCATGGGGACTTAAGATTCCAAGGCTTTTGAGCACTGCTTAGAAGTTTGGGGTAAGATCTTTTAATCCTTTTAAAATTTTATTTTATTTTTGGGATGGAGTCTCACTGTTTTGTCTAGGCTGGAGTGCAGTGGTACAGTCTCAGCTCATTGCAACCTCTACCTCCTGGGTTTAAGTGATTCTTGTGCCTTAGCCTCCCAAGTAGCTGGGATTACAGGCACCTGCTACTAATGGCAGCTAGTTTTTTTGTATTTTTAGTAGAGACGGTGTTTCCATGTTGGCCAGGCTGGTCTTGAACTCCTGACCTCAGGTGATCCCCTGCCTCAGCCTCCCAAAGTGCTGGGATTACAGGCATGAGCCACCACGCCTGGCCTCGGGTGAGATTTAAATGTTATAACTCCTTCTGGAACCTCATGGCCTATGAAGATGCCCTGTCTCCTGGACACAACATTCAACTTCCTGACTGGGGCTGGGAGTGCAAGGATTTGTTTATTTTTTCTTGAAACAGAGTCTTACTCTTTTGCCCTGGCTGGAGTGCAATGGCACGATCTGGGCTTGCTGCAGCGTCTGCCTCCCGGGTTCAAGTGATTCTCGTGCCTCAGCCTTCCAAGTAGCTGAGGTGACTGGCCTGAGCCACTGGGCATGGCTAATTTGTTTTGCATTTATGGCAAAGAGGGTATTTCGCCATTTTGGCCAGGCTGGTCTTGAACTCCTGGCCTCAGGTGATCCACCAGCCTCAACCTCCCAAAGTGCTGAGATTACAGCCCTCAGACACCGCCCCCCGCCCCCCGGGAGTGCAAGGATTTATTTATTTATTTATTTATTATTATTTTTTTTTGACGGAGTTTCACTGTTATTACCCAGGCTGGAGTGCAATGGCGCGATCTCAGCTCATCGCAACCTCTGCCTCCTGGGTTCAGGTAATTCTCCTGCCTCAACCTCCTGAGTAGCTGGGATTACAGGCACGAGCCACCATACCCAGCTAATGTTTTACATTTTTAGTAGAGACAGGGTTTCACCATGTTGACGAGGTTGGTCTCGATCTCTTGACCTTGTGATCCACCTGCCTTGGCCTCCTAAAGTGCTGGGATTACAGGCTTGAGCCACCGCGCCCGGCTTGAGTGCAAGGATTTAAATAAAATCTTGTGAAAGTCCAGTTTGGCTCCTTCGGGACCTCAGCTGGGCCTGCGGGGGCAGTGCAGGAGACAGGCTGATGGAGAGGGCCTGCCTCAGGCACTGCCTGGACATCTTCACGGGTGTGAGGACTGCGAGATGGCCAAGTCCTGAGGTCCCCTGTACAGACAGATGGGGAAACACAGGTGAAGTGGGGCCAGGGACTTACATCAGGTCACATGGGGAGCCAGTGGCTGAGGCAGGAGCAGAGGCAGGACCTGGCCCGGGGTCTCTGCGCTGAACCATTCCTGGGCATCCTGCTGAATTTGCCCCCAGAAAGAAATGGGCCTCACATATCCCACTGCCGCCTCCTAGCATGCTTTTGTCCAGACCCCTTGAGACTGGCTGAGGACTGGTTGCCATAGAGATGGCCTGTTGGGCAGTTCCACAGTGGGGGTGGGGGATGGGGCAGGATGGGGAGGACACCGATATGCTAAATACCTACCAACAGTTGGTTAGGGCCCCGTTGGCGCGACCAGGGCAGGACACACGGCTTCAGGCTCCGGGGAGCAGCTCTAGGCTGCTCAAGCTGCTGTCGACGATCTCTCGGGACAAGCAGGTGAGGGAGGCCCAGTGGGGGCATTTCCAGGTGAGCCGCCTTGGGTCAGGGAGGCCTGGGCTGGGGAGGCTCTTGAGAAGCCATGATACCTGAGCTGAGGTCCAGGTGAAAGTCAGGGGGCAGGAGCAGGACAGGGACCACAGGGAGCCCTAAAGGCCTTGGGGGAAGCTGAGGGATGACGCCCAGGGGTGACTCCCAGGGATGATAGGGCAGTTTAGGGAACGCTGCGGGAGAAGGGTTTCAAGAAAGACGAAGACCACCTTGGTTTCCGCCTTGGCTGTAGCAGGTCCAGGGCCCAATGGGACATTTGGGAGTGCAGTCCAGGGCCCAGAGGCGGCCTAGTGCAAAGGGGACGAATCTGGGCTCCACCACTTTCCAGCTGTGTGACCTCAGTTACTCAGCCTCTCTGAGGCTCAGCTTTCTCCTCCGCATGAGAGGGGTGATCTCCTCCGCATGATGGGGCCTCCTAGGGTCCTTGGGAAGGTAATGTGTGTTCATGCACGAAAGTCCTGAGCACATAGTAGGTGCTCAGCAGATGGCGGCTGTTGCTATTTTAATATGCAGAATGGAGGTGTTCAGTCGAGTTTATTTGTTTTGTTTTGTTTTGTTTTGTTTGAAATGGAGTTTTGCCCTTGTTGCTCAGGCTGGAGTGCAATGATGCAATCTTGGCTCACTGCAGCCTCTGCCTCCCAGGGTTCAAGCGATTCTCCTGCCTCAGCCTCCCAAGTAGCTGGGATTACAGGCACAGGCCACCACATCTGGCTATTTTTTTTTTTTTTTTTTTTTTTTTTTTTTTTTGTATTTTTAGTAGAGACGGGGTTTCACCATGTTGGCCAGGCTGCTCTCAAACTCCTGGCCTCAGATGATCTGCCCACCTCGGCCTTTCAAAGTGCTGGGATTACAGGCATGAGCACCGCGCTCGGCTGTGTTGCATGGGTTTTAATGGTAACGAGGGCCCAGAGGGGCCCAGTCGGGCCCAGCCAGGTGCACAAGAGGAGGGCACCCAGGCAAGGTGCAACACAGTCCAGGAGGCTGCTTCGAGCTGGCCTCCCCCACTGTCTGTGCCCAGGGCCGCCTGGGGAGTGGTGACGGTGTGCCAAATCAGGACCTGCAGCAGAGGTCTCAGAGCTCAAGGCAGACAGCAAAGAAGGAGCGCAAGCCCAGGGGTCAGAGCAAGAAAGGACAGGGCTCTGAAGAGGCTGAGTAAGGAGCAGTGGGATGGGTCAGGTGGGTGCTGGGGGTCAGGCCCCTCTGGGGGCTGGTGCGGAACCTGACCCCCACCCTCTCCTTCTTCAGTCTCTTCACCCCTCCTGCTCGGAAGCCCTCCTTCCCCTTCCAGTGGGCCTGGGAGAGCATTGCCACAGACGTCCGGGCTGTGCTTCAGCCAAGCTCCCCAGCCTCTAGCCACCAAGCCCTGCCCCTGACCTCTTCACTTTCCCAGCGCCAGTTCAGGCGCAAGTCCACGGGCAGCCTCCCAGAGACCCTTGGCTGCTGCCAGAAGACAGAGACACAAAACCTAAAGGTGAGACAGCGGCTGAGAGCCTGGGGTGGTGTCTCCATCCTTCCTGACAAAGGAGGGCAAGGACCAGAGCCCCGCTGTGAGTGTGGCCTCCAGCTGCCTGGGAGGAGGCCAGGATCAGGATCGGTGTCCGAAGAGCATGTCCAGCTGCCAGGCCCAGGTGCTGAGAAGGCCGAGAGGGGTCTGAGTTCTGCGGAGCTGCTCCAGTGCCCCAGGAAGGGGCCGATCTCAGAGGAGGAGCAATTCTCAGCAGCCACAGAAGAGGCTGAGGAGGGGGAGCACAGGGCTACCCGCAGAAGGAGGGCTGGTTCTCAGAAAAAGGGGCAGTTTTCTGGAGAGGAGGCCTCAGATGAGGGGGAACAGGGCCAGAGCCAGGAGAGCATCCCCAACTTCAACAACCTCCAAAGGCCACGGAGGAGGAAGACAAGGGCCAAGGAGCTACAGGAGCCGTGGGACCTGGAGAAGCTACACAGGCAGCTGCAAAGAGACCTGGATTGTGGTGAGCATGTGGCTCAGAGCCTGGGTTCCCCAAAGCAACACCACTGGGAGAGCACTCAGGGAGGCAGGAGCTCAGGCAGGCTAGGCTGTGCTCTGGGGGGATTGCCTGGCGGGCTGGGAGAGAGAGGGCAGTCCCTGACTTGATCTCACTGTGGACAGGTCCCCAAAAGCAGCCCTGGATGGCTTTGAGAGATGCCTTCCAGGCCTCCAAACGGAGTGGAAAGGCCTATGCCTTGGGAGGCGATGAAACCTTCTTATCTGCCAACCTGCCTAACCGCACCTTCCGCAAACGACAGGAAGCCACCAGGTAAGAGAGTAGAGAAGGGAGTGGGAGGCAAGGGTGAGAAGTAGAGATGGAAGCCATTTCTCCAAGAGATGCTGAGGCATTTGAACTCTCATTCATTTCTTTGTTTATTTATTCACCAAACTTTTGGATCCTCCATCCATTCATCCACCCATCCATCCATCCATCACCCATCCACATATCCGTCCATCCATCACCCATCCATCCAAACATCCATCCATCCAAACATCCATCCATCTATCCATCCACCCACCCACCCATCCACCCACCCATTTATCCATCCATCCATCCATCCACCCACCCATCCACCCCCGCCATTTGTCCATCCATCCATCCATCCATCTAAACATCATCCATCCAAACATCATCCATCCAAACATCCACCCATCCATCCATCCATCCATCCATCCACCCACCCATCCACCCACCCATTTATCCATCCATCCATCCACCCATCCATCCATCCACCCACCATCCACCCACCCACCCATTTATCCATCCACCCACCCACCTATCCATCCATTCATCCATCCATCCATCCATCCATCCATCCATCCATCCATCCAACTACTGATAACATCCACTCAACCATTTATCCATCTCTCTGAATACCTGGCCAATTATTTATTGACACAGCCACTTTTATTACCCATCTTTTCTTCTATCCATCCATTAATCTATTAACTAAGTGATTAATGCAACATTTATTACCTACTCATGGGCCCTTAGGATATAACTATTACAAGACTTGGGGCTAGCTGGGCATGGTAACATGTGCTTGTAGTCCCAGCTACTCATGAGGCTGAGGTAGGAGGATCTCTTGAGCTCAGGAGATTGAGACTGCAGTGAGCTATGATCCTGCCACTGCACTCAGCATGGGCAACAGAGTGAGACACTGCCTCTAAAAAAGAAGTTAAGGGGACAGGCACATTGGCTCATACCTATAATCCCAGCACTTTGAGAGGCTGAGGTGTGCGGACTGCCTGAGTTCAGGAGTTCGAGACCAGCCTGGGCAACTAAAAATATAAAAAATTAGCCAGATGTGGTGATGTGTGCCTATCGTCTGATCTACTCAGGAGGCTGAGGCAGAAGAATTGCTTGAACCCGGGAGGTGGAGGTTGCAGTGAACCGAGATCGCACCACGGCACTCCATCCAGCCTTGGTGACAGAGCAAGCCTCTGTCTCAACCAACCAACCAACCAACACAGCCTGGTCAGCATAAAGAGACCGCTGTCTCTAAAAAAGGAAAGAAGATTAACCTGGCTTGGTGGAAAGCGCCTGTAGGCCCAGCTTCTCTAGAGGCTGAGTCAGGAGGATCTAGAGGCTGAGCCAGAAGTTTGAGGCTGCAGTGAGTCATGATCATACCACTGCATTCCACTCTGTGCAACAGAGAGAGACTCTGTTTCTAAAGCAAAGGAGACAGTGGGAGCTGAAGGGGAGACTATTGGCAACACTGGGATGAGGGACCATGAGGCCCTCAACTGGGAGGCCCTGTGGATGGAGGGAGGAGATCCATTTAGGAGACATTTAGAGACCGGTTCAGTATGCCTTGGTGACTGGTGACAGGTGGCATGTGAGAGCAGGGGAGAGTTCATTCACTCTGTTGCCAGGCTGGAGTGCAGTGGCTCACTGCAACCTCCGCCTCCCAGATTCAAACAGTTCTCCTGCCTCAGCCTCCTCAGTAGATGGGACTACAGGCACACGCCACCATGCCGGGCTAATTTTTGTATTTTTAGTAGCGATGGGGTTTTACCATGTTGGCCAGGATAGTCTTGATCTCTTGGCCTCGTGATCTGCCCTCCTCAGCCTCCCAAACTGCTAGGATTACAGGTGTTAGCCACCGTGCCCAGCTCATTGAGCATTCTTATAACACTCCACAATTTTTTTTTTTTTTTTTTTTTGGAAACAGAGTCTCTCTGTGTCGCCCAGGCTGAAGTGCAGTGGTGTGATCTCGGCTCACTGCAACCTCTGACTTCCAGGTTCAAGCGATTCTCCTGCTTCGGCCTCCCAAGTAGTTGGGACTACAGGCTCCTGCCACCATGCCTGGATAAGTTTTGAATTTTTAGTAGAGGCAGGATTTCACTATGTTGGCCAGGCAGGTCTTGAACTCCTGACCTCATGATCTGCCTGCCTTGGTCTCCCAAAGTACTGGGATTACAGGCATGAGGCACCATGCCTGGCCATAATTCCTTTTTTTAAAAAATTATTTTATTTAATTGCTAAATAAAAATTGTATTCATGAACAACATGAGGTTTAGAAATATGTATATATTATGGAATATCTAAATCAAACTAATTAATATATGCATTACCTCACTTTTTGAGACGGAATCTTGCTCTGTCCCCAGGCTGGAGTACAGTGGTGCGATCTCGGCTCACTGCAACCTCTGCCTCCTGGGTTCAAACAATTCTTTCTCAGCCTCCCGAGTAGCTGGGATTACAGGCACACGCCACCAGACCCAGCTAATTTTTGTATTTTTAGTAGAGATGGGGTTTCACCATGTTGGCTAGGCTGGTCTCGAACTCCAGACCTTGAGATCCTCCCGCCTCAGCCTCCCAAAGTGCTGGGATTACAGGTGTGAGCCACTGTGTCCAGCCTTACTCTTTGTGTGTGTGTGTGTGTGTGTGTGTGTGTGTGGTGAGGACACTTAAAATCTACTCTTTTAGTGATTTTCAAGTATACAATACATTGTTTTTAACTACAGGCACCAGATCATACAATAGATCTCTCGAATTTATTTCTCCTCTCTAACTGAAATGTTTTATCCTTTGACCAACCTCTCCCTTCTTCTCCCCACAAACCCATTGAGACCCTGATAACCACCCTTCAACTCTCTGCTTCTGTGAGTTTGACTTTTTATTTATTTATTTAGAGACAGAGTCTTGCTGTGTTGCTCAGGCTGGAGTGCAGTGGCGCAATCACGGCTCGCTTCAGCCTTGACCTCCAGGGCTCAAGTAATCCTCCCACCTCAGCCTCCTGAGTATCTGGGACTACACACATATGAGCCACCATGCCTGGCTAATTTTTAAAGTTTTTGTAGAGATGGGGTCCCATTATGCTGAGTTTTACTTTTTTTAGATTTGACACATGAGCTTATATGGCATTTGTCTTCCTGTGCCTGGCTTATTTCCCGTAACATAGTGTCCTCCAGGTTTATTCATGTGGTTGCAAATTGTCTTCTTTTTAAGGCTGAAGAATGCCATTGTTTATATACACCACCTTTTCTTTATCCATTCATCTGTTGAGGGGAACTTAGGTTGATTTCAGATCTTTGCTACTGTGAATATTTCTGGAATGAACATAGGATTACAGCTACCTCTTCAACGCTGATTTCATTTCCTTTGAATATGTACCCAGAAGAGAGTTGAGAGATCACATGGTAGTTCTATTTGTAATTTTTTGAGGAACCTTGATTTTACCACATGATTGATGATTAGTGATGAAAATGACTGTCTTTTTTGAGAAATGTCTATTTGGAGTCCTCTTTTTTTTTTTGGTCTAGAGTCAGGATCTTATTCTGTCTCCCAGGCTGGAGTGCAGTGGCATGATCATGGCTCACTCTAGCCTTGGATTCCTGGGTACAAGCAACCCTCCTGCCTCAGCCTCCTGAGTAGCTGGAATTACAGGTGCACACCACCACTTCCAGCTGATTTATTTTTTTAACTTTTTATTTATAGAGATCCGGTCTTGCTATGTTGCCCAGGCTGGTCTCCAACCCCTGGCTTCAAGCAATCCTGTTGCCTCTGCCTCCCAAGGTGCTGAAATTACAGGTGTGAGCCACCATGCCCTGCCTCTTTGCCTATTTATTTTATTTTTTTATTTTTTTGAGTTGGAGCCTTACTTCATCACCCAGGCTGGAGTGCAGCAGCGTAATCTTGGCTCACTGCAACCTCCGCCTCCCAGGTTCAAGCAATTCTCATGCCTCGGCCTCCCGAGTAGCTGGGATTACAGACATACACCACCGTGTCCAGCTATTTTTTTGTATTTTTTAGTAGAGACGGGGTTTCACCATGTTGGCCAGGCTAGTCTTGAACTCCAAACGTCAAATGATCCACCTGCCTCAGGCTCCCAAAGTGCTGGGATTACAGTCATGAGCCACCATGCCCAGCCTTTGCCCATTTTTTAATTGAGTTATTTGCTTTCTTGTTACTGAGTTATTTGAGTTCACATGTTTTGGAATATTAACTCCTTTTCTGATGTATGGCTTACAAATATTTTCTCCTGTTCTGTATGTCATCTCTGTTGACTGTTGCTGTTGCTGTGCAGAAGGTTTTTGGTTTGATGCAACCTCATTTGTCCATTTTTGCTTTTGTTGCCTGTGCTTTCTGGGTCATATCCAAAAAACTAAAGCCCAGACCAGTGTCACTAAGCCTCTTTTTCTTTTTTTTTTTTTCGTGGCAGAGTCTCAATCTGTCGCCCAGGCTGGAGTGCAGTGGCTCGATCTTGGCTCACAGCAGCCTTGACCTCCTGGGCTCAGGTGATTCTCCCACCTTACCCTCCTGAGTAGCTAGGACTACAGATGTGGGCCACCACACTTGGCTAATTTTTTGTATGTTTAGTTCAGAAGAGGTTTCATCATGTTGTTCAAGGTGGTCTGAAACTCTGGGCTCAAGCGATCCACCTGCCTCCACCTCCCAAAGTGCTGGAATTACAGGTGTGAGCCACTATGCCTGGCCTTTTTTTTTTTTTTTTTTGGTTCAAGATTGCTTTGGCTGTTTGAGGCCTTTTGTGGTTCTATATTAAAATTGTTTTTTCTATTTCTGAGAAAAATGTCATTGGAATTTTAATAGGATTGCACTGAATCTGTAAATTGCTTTGGATAAAATGGACATTTTAATAATATTAATTCTTCCAAAGTACCCTTCTTTTTTTTTTTTTTTTTTTGAGATAGAATTTTGCTCTTGTCGTTCAGGCTGGAGTGCAATGGCATGGTCTCAGCTCACCACAACCTCTGCTTCCTAGGTTCAAACAATTCTCCTGCCTCAGCCTCCCAAGTAGCTGGGATTATAGGCCTGTGCCACCATGCCTGCCAATTTTTGCATTTTTAGTAGAAACTAGGTTTCACCATGTTGACCCGCTGGTCTTGAACTCCTGACCTCAGGTGGTCCACATGCTTCCGCCTCCCAAAGTGCTGGGATTACAGGCATGAGCCACTATGCCTGGCCTGGAAGCAGGAGAGTTCTGCAAAGAGTAGGGAAAGGCCCTGACCTGGGCCTGAGGGCTCAGCCTCTGTAGCAGCCTTGGTCATGGACTTCCATGACAAACTCTATTCCCAGAACACTGGCTCTGGACTCTGCAATCCCTTTCCACAGGCTCCCATACTGCCCTGATATTCAGCCCCTGGCCCTCCGTGAGGCTTCTGCTTCCCATAAACGTCTCATCCCCTTCCCTTCCCTCTCTCACCCAAGGAGCCTGCTGCAGGCCTGGGAGCGGCAGCGGCAGGAGGAGCGGCAGCGGGCCGAGCTGCGGCGGGCCCGCACACAGCACGTACAGCGGCAGGTGGCCCGCTGCCTGGCAGCCTACGCACCCAGAGGGAGCCGGGGGCCCGGTACGGCCCAGCGCAAGCTGGAGGAGCTGAGGTAGAGAGCCCGGGTTTTGGGGGGCCTGGTGGGGAGAGGGCAGGTAGGCCATGCCAGGTCTCAGTCTACAGGACCGAGGAGCACGAGCCCTCGCCTTCCCAGGGGCTGGCCAGGCCACTTTGCCGTGTTTACAGATGAGGATACTGAGGCATGGGGAGAAGGGGCCCATCGAAGGCCACCAGTTAATATAATGACAATCTCTGCTGCTGTTGAATGCTGGAGGTTAAAATATTCTACATCTACGATCATACCTTCAAATCTTCATTTCCTGATTTCCAATGCCAGACATACTTGCTATAAAATGTCACAAAAATATTGACTGGAGAAGGTGAACTGCCCCGTGACCCCACTCTGGGAGATAACCATTGTTCACAGTTGGCTGAAGAGTCATGTTTTATTCTCTTCCTATATTGTGACCATTTTCCTAAGAAGCAAATTTGTGGGCAAACCTTTTTTGGACTCCTAACAGGCCCGTGAAGCAGGCAGCCCTGCTGGTGGGCCAGGTCAGATTCTTCCCTTGGTTGCACGAAAGAGTTTGAGAGCAAGTCCAAAGGAAGGACAGGAAAAGAAGGTTATTGCAAAGCAAAGGCTACCCTGACCAACATGGTGAAAGCCCCATCTCTATGAAAAATACAAAAATTAGCTGGGCACGGTGGTGCATACCTGTAATCCCAGCTACTCGGTAGGCTGAGACAGGAGAATCACTTGAACCCAGGTGGAGGTTACAGTGAGCCAAGATTGCGCCACTACACTCCAGCCTGGGCAACAGAGCAAAAACTTCATCTCAAAAAAAAAAAAAAAAAAAGAAAAAAGGGAAAAAAGTTCATAGGAGGCTGAGATGGGCAGATTACATGAGGTCAGGCGTTCAAGACCAGCCTGACCATAATGGAGAAACCCCGTCTCTATTAAAAATACAAAAAAAAAAGGCCAGGCGTGGTGGCTCAAGCCTGTAATCCCAGCACTTTGGGAGGCCGAGGCGGGTGGATCACGAGGTCAAGAGATCGAGACCATCCTGATCAACATGGTGAAACCCTGTCTCTACTAAAAATACAAAACATTAGCTGGGCATGGTGGCGCGTGCCTGTAATCCCAGCTACTCAGGAGGCTGAGGAAGGAGAATTGCCTGAACCCAGGAGGCGGAGGTTGCGGTGAGCCGAGATCACGCCATTGCACTCCAGCCTGGGTAACAAGAGCGAAACTCTATCTCAAGAAAAAAAAATACAAAAAAAAAAAAACAAAAAAAACCACCAGGTGTGGTGGCGCATGCGTGTAATCCCAGCTACTTGAGAGGCTAAGGCAGGAGAATTGCTTGAACCCAGGAGCAGAAGTTGCGGTGAGTGTCATTGCACTCTAGCCTGGGCAACAAGAGCGAAACTCCGTCTCAAAACAAACAAAACAAAAAACAAAAAAAACGAAGCCCACCCTGAGGACTGCTCAGAAGGAAAGACAGCAGCTTGTGCCTTAAAAGGAATTCCTTTCATGGGAGTTGTACATACATATTCACAAAATACTGGTGAGGTCAGGTATGCAGAGGCGGACCTGTGACTGCACATGCGCTCAGCATCTGCATGCCCTACGCACATCACATGTATCATTAGCATATAAAATCTCCACCTAGGGGTGTGTTTTTACTATTAAAATGAGGGAAATGTTGCTATAAGCTAAACCTTGAGCCTAACTGTGTATGCAGGACACCGAGAAGTCCTTAGCTCCCTCAAAGGCAGGACTTTGTAGCTAATAGCTTCCAGGGCTTTTGCTGATTGACTGGAGATTGGGGAAGCTACATTATGAATAAGGGGATTTTGTTTTCTTTCCTGGGCTGTTCTAGGTATCAGGAAACTTGTAGCCATCTGGTATCCCCCAGGACTGCTATCCTGAAAAAGAGTTAGGTACTCAGCCGGGTAGAGTGTTTCATGCCTGTAATGTAATCCCAGCACCTGGGGAAACCAAGGCTGGTGGATTACCTGAGGCCAGGAGAGACCAGCCTGGCCAACATGGCGAAACTCCACCTCTACTAAAAAAAAAATACAAAAATTAAACATTAGCCAGGTGTGGTGGCTGTAGTCCCAGCTACTTGGGAGGCTGAGGCAGGAGAATCACGGAACCTGGGAGGCGGAGGTTGCAGTGGGCTGAGATCATGCCATTGCACTCCAGCCTCAGTGACAGAGCAAGACTCTGTCTCAAAATAAATAAGTAAAAATAAAGAGTTAGGTGCTGATGCATGAGAGCACAAGTGATGCACAGCTACTGTGAAAGGAGCCCCGGGGCTTCACACAAGGGGACAAGTCAGTATGGCCTGCTCACCTGCATATCTCCACCTGCATAACCCCGCCGGTGAGGAAACTGAGGTTCAGAGAGCTTAAATAATTTGCCAAAGGTCATGGGTGGGTAGCAGAACTGAGTTCCAGCTGTCTTGCCTGCCTGAGTGCTCAAATTCTCCCTTTAGATGAAAGATACCAGGACCTTCCCACAAGAGCTCAATCTAGTGAAACAGGTAACACGAATAAATGTGACCAAAACTAGTGCCATTGATTTGAGCACCTCCTGGGTGCAGTGAGCACAGGGCATCTTTTTCTGCACCGTCTCCTCTGGTCCATGGCAAGTGGGGTGAGGATCCACAGAGGTTTCAGCGGGGTTCTGATCATCTATTCTTTGAGGCTCAATCTTAGTTGCCCCAATTTAACAGATTTGGAAAGAGCGGCTCTGAGAGGTCTGGTGTGTTTTTAAGGGACTGCTTGGGCCACTCCCTTCTTCTTCCCAATCTCGCTCTGTCGCCCGGCTGGAGTGCAGTGGTGTGATCTCAGTTCACTGAAACCTTTGTCTCCCAGGCTCAAGCAATTCTCCTGCCTCAGCCTCCCAGGTGTGGTGTGCACCACCACACCTGGCTAATTTTTTGTATTTTTGGTAGAGCCAGGGTTTCACCATATTGCCCAGGCTGTCTCGAACTCCTGACCTCAAGTGATCCACCTGCCTCAGCCCCACAAGTTTCTGGGATTACAGGCGTGAGCCACTGCACCCAGCCAAATGTTTTGTTTTGATAGCAAGGCAGAAAGTGGCAGGTGCAGCAAAATAGTGATTCAACCTCACTCCTTTCACTTTCTACTTGAGACTGTTAAGGCATAAGTAGATGTCTCTCACGTGGTCTCTCAGCCCTTACAGCCTGTGAACTTCACTGTCTGACTAGAATAGGAGACTCTCTCCTGCCTAGGAAGGACAGGCACAAAAGAGGTTGTCCTGTGGCAGGGAGGATGTGTCTTCTTTCCATTCTGAGATGATGGACGGGGCTGACACCCACAGGCACCATTTCCCTTTCTGCTCAGGACTCCTCTCATTTTTAACAGATACAGCATAAAGTGGCTGGGTGCAATGGCCTGTAATCCCAGCACTTTGAGAGGCCAAGGCAGGCGGATCACCTCAGGTCAAGACCAGCCTGACCAACATGGAGAAACCCTGTCTCTACTAAAAATATAAAATTAGCCAGGCATGGTGGCACATGCCTGTAATCCTACCTACTCGGAAGGCTGAGGCAGGAGAATTGCTTGAACCTGGGTGGCGGAGGTTGCGGTGAGCCGAGATCGTGCCATTGCACTCCAGCCTGGGCAACAAGAGCAAAACTCTGTCTCAAAAAAAAAAAAAAAGAAAGAAAGAAAAAGAAAAAGAAGGGCCGGGTGCGGTGGCTCACGCCTCTAATCCTAGCACTTTGGGAGGCCGAGGTGGGTGAATCACCTGAGGTCAGGAGTTTAAGACCAGCCTGGCCATCATGGTGAAAACCCATCTTAAAAAAAAAAAAAAGGAAAAGAAAAAAAAAAGAAAAAGAAATAGCATAAAGTATCCAGTGCACATGATGTCACAAAAAGATAGAGACTGCCAGCTCATTTTCCACATCCCCTTGTAACTGCTGTGAATTCCTTCCTAAATGGTGAAAACCCTTTTCACGGCAACTTATGTTCCTGGCCAAGGGTTTTCAAGTCCGTCTTTTTCTCAAGGGAGGATGCTTCTTTCCTGCCACAGGGCCAAGGGCGCATGACCCAGCAAGGTGGCGTTTTTCCACGGGGCCCAGCATACTTCCTGAGGTCCCAGCACAGGTCCTGAGGTCTTGTCCGCTTCTCCCCTCCCCTCCAGTCCACGAGTGCTGCCTCCACACCTCAAGGTCTCTCTTATGTGCTTCACAGAAGGATGTCTGGTCCCATTTTGGGTGTGGCCCGAAGGCCCCTCTTGCTGACAGGGTACTCTTTTCAGGAGGGAGAGTGACACTCAAGTTTGTCAAGCAGACACATTCTGACAAGTGCACAAACTGGGTTTTGGGTTTTTTTTGAGACAGGGTCTCTCTCTGTTGCCCAGGCTGGAGTGCAGTGGCACAATCTCAGCTCACCGTAGCCTAGACCTCCCAGGCTCAAGGGATCCTTCCACCTCAGCCTCCCAGCTAGCCGGGACTACAGGTGCATACCACCACGCTCAGCTAATTTTTGCATTTTTTTGTAGAAACAGGATTTCACCATGTTGTCTAGCCTGGTCTCAATCTCTTGGGCTCAAGGATCCGCCCTCTTTGGCCTTCCAAATTGCTCAGATTACAGGTGCTAGCCACCGCACCTGGTCAAACTGGGTTTTTGTAAATGAAAACTATGCTTCTCCAGTGGAACCCTGATCTCTCCGGGATGCGTTTTTTTTTTTTTTTTTTTTTTTTTAGACGGAGTTTCGCCCTTGTTACCCAGGCTGGAGTGCAATGGCGCGATCTCGGCTCTCCGCAACCTCCGCCTCCTGGGTTCAGGCAATTCTCCTGCCTCAGCCTCCGGAGTAGCTGGGATTACAGGCACGCGCCACCATGCTCAGCTAATTTTTTGCACCATTAGTAGAGACGGGGTTTCACCATGTTGACCAGGATGGTCTCGATCTCTTGACCTCGTGATCCACCCGCCTCGGCCTCCCAAAGTGCTGGGATTACAGGCTTGAGCCACCGCGCCCCGCCCCGGGATGTGTTTTTTAAATTTGAAACACTATTTTTTTTTTTTTTTTTTTTTAGTTTCTCTGTCCCATTTTCCAAGCTGTCTGCTTATATGAACCACAGAGAATGCTGGAAAGCTTGTCCGATCCCTGCTACAGCACAGTGAAATAAACTAAGCCCAAAGCCCAGAGAGAGGCCTTGTCCAAAGTCACACAACTAACAACCACAGCTTCCCCTCAAGGGGAAGAGGACGGGGAAAGGGAAGCTATGGAAGCAGGTGTCTAGAAGCTCAGAAGCCAGCACTGGCTCCTTTCCCACGGGGATGGCACAGGAGGATGGGAAGGCCCTGGCTGCATTAGGGCTCAGTCTCACACTTCCCAGCTTCACAGCTTTGAACAAGTCCCTCAACCCTCCTGAGCCATCAGTAAATTGGTGAATAATGTCCACACTGGCTGACCTCACAAGGAATCCAGGGCCAGAATGGGCATGAAATCGCTTTGTAAAGGTGAGGGTGAGGACATGAATATTAAGTCCTTAGTAAAGATGAGCAGGCTCAAGTGTGGGGATGAACAGTTGTGTCCATGGTTAGCTGCCCAAAAGCCTGTCTCCCCTGCAGGCGTCAGGAGCGACAGCGCTTTGCCGAGTACCAGGCAGAGCTGCAGGGCATCCAGCACAGGGTGCAGGCCCGGCCCTTCCTGTTCCAGCAGGCCATGCAGGTGAGGCTGGCACCTGAGCAAGCACACAGTTGCCCACTGCGAAGAGCTTGCTGAGTGGGTAGGGAAGCAGCATGGGCATAGGTCCTTGCAGATAGGATCCCGGGCTGGGGAATCCCTGGGACCCACTCAGTAACCAGAGCCCCAGCTTGCTCTCGGCAGCCCTGGTGTAGAGCGGGAAGCCCTCTTCTCTCTCCTCAGGCCAATGCCCGTCTCACTGTCACCCGGCGCTTCTCCCAGGTGCTGTCAGCACTGGGGCTAGATGAGGAGCAGCTGCTGGCTGAGGCAGGAAAGGGGGACACAGTGGGCACCCCCAGAAAATCCAGGTGAGTCCCCCGGCAGGTCAAGAACTGGCTCTGCCACGCTGCTGTGGGATGGGGCACCCACACCAGCACTCTGGGCTCTGGAGGGCCTCCCCTAAGCCCCGTCCTCCATGTCACCCAAGGAAGTCTAGGCCAGGGTTGTCACTCCTCCTTCTCAATGAGGAAATTAAGGACCTGACGGGTGGGGCCTTGCTTAGGACACAGGAACCAACAAGCAGCAGAGTCAGTCTGGGAATTTGCAACCATCTGAGCTGCCGCACACCAAGCCCTCATTAGGGGCTGGCACCACCACACTGGTTACTCCTTGGATATCTCTCTTATGCCTTAGAATAACCTGGTACAGAGCAGGGACCATGAAGCCCACTTGACAATCAGGAAAGTGAGACTTGAGAAGGGAGAGTCACTTGCCCAGGATCACACAGCAAGCCAGGATAGGAGCAGGGTTTGAAGCCACATTGTCAGTGGTTTCCTTGGGCATGGGGGTGGCAGCTGAAGAGCCAGGGGCCTCTATCTGTGTCTTGAAGGAGCCACAGGCCAATGGGGGTGAGAATGGAGCACTCTCTTCCAAGCCCTCCAAGGAAAGAACCCACCGGCAGCCAGCCTGACAGGCACCACACCCCCAGCCTGGACCCGGAGTGCAGTCCCTGAGATAAAAATTAAAGGCTTTTTGGCAAACACAGCGTGGAATTTCTGGTGCTGGTGGTGGTGGAGGCTCCAGGTTGGAAGTGAGAGGTGGCAGGTGGGTGGGCAGCCGGCTTAGCTCTGTCCCCACATCCCCCCTCTCCAGGAGCTCTGGCTCTTTTGGTTCCCCCTACCCAGCACACACAGCCCCTTCTCTCCTCCTGAGGAGTGGGGACATCTCAAAGAGCAAGAACTGTGACTTCCCCACCCCATCCTCAACGTATATGCTGGGTCCTAGAAATCCAAGCGTGAATAAGGTGGAACGACTCCCGCCTCTGAGGACGCCCAGTCAGTGGGAGAGGGGGTGGACCCTCAGAGGGGTGCCTACAACATACCCTAACACAGGCTGACTTGTGCCACACAGGGAGCCACACACTGAGCAACCATTGGGTGGGGGGAGGGGTTTCAGGAAGGAATGTGTGCATGGGGCTTTTTAAGTTCCAGTAGTTTTAAGTTAGGGATCCTCTCCTCAAGAAAAAAATCATACACGCAGAGGTGCCATATTTTGCATTCAATTTCAGGGGTTCCACGGACACACTGACGCCCATGTGGAGCTCCTTAACAGTTCACAGGTTTAAAAAATCCAATCCAGGGCCAGGCAGAGTGGCACACACCTGTAATCTCAGCACTTTCGGAGGCCAAGGCGGGTGGATTGCTTGAGCTCAGGACCAGCCTGGACAACATAGCGAGATCCCCGCCCCCGTATCTACCAAAAAATACACAAATTAGAGGGGCGTGGTAGCGTGCGCTTGTAGTCCCAGCTACTGGGAAGGCTGAGGTGGGAGGATCACTTGAGCCCGGGAGGTCGAGGCCGCCGTGCACTGTGATTGCGCCACTGCACTCCAGCCTGAGGAACAGAGTGAGGTCCTGTCTTAAGAGAAAAACGACCAAGGGGACGTGGGAAGGCAGCGTTCCGAGGATACTGGTTATAGGGAGTCGGAGGCTGGGCTATGTAATTGGGGATCACGGGAAAACAACACCCGTTGGAGCCACGACCCCAGGAGTCTAGGAAGCGAGCGCCCATTGAAGGACGGAGGTGTCCACGGAAAGGCCAAGAGGTAGTGAACACCCGGTTGCCGGGGAAGTACAAGCGCAGGGAAGTCAAGGAGGAACTTCCAGCCTCGAAGACACTGGCTTAAGGTGTCCGAACACATTTGATGGCGTTCAGTAAAGTTATTTGCTGTTTGTGAGGTGGGTGGAGCAGGTCTAAATCCTTCCGGTTTTGGGATCCCATCTCCGGGATTCATTCCGCGTCCCTTGAGGAGCGCATGCGCAACGGGACCACCGGCTCGGAGAACACACAGGACCGGAGACCGCGCGAATGCGCACTGGAGCCCTGATCCCCAGCCTTCCCATGAGCCTCCGGGGCAGGCTCCAAGGCAAGCGGCGGAAGCAGCCGCTCTTAGTTTCCCGCAACACGACAGCGGCTGCCGAGCGACCCGGAAGTGTTCCCATTTTGCGTTGTCTGGGCTCGGCGGCGGCCGGGCTCGGGGTGGACGTGCCACTATGGGGTCGTCCAAGAAGCACCGCGGGGAGAAAGAGGCGGCCGGGACGACGGCGGCGGCCGGCACCGGGGGCGCCACCGAGCAGCCGCCGCGGCACCGGGAGCACAAAAAACACAAGCACCGGAGTAGCGGCAGTGGCGGTAGCGGCGGCGAACGACGGAAGCGGAGCCGGGAACGTGGAGGCGAGCGCGGGAGCGGGCGGCGCGGGGCCGAAGCTGAGGCCCGGAGCAGCACGCACGGGCGGGAGCGCAGCCAGGCAGAGCCCTCAGAGCGGCGCGTGAAACGGGAGAAGCGCGATGACGGCTATGAGGCCGGTGAGGAGGCGGGGCCTGCGCAGGGGGCGGGGCGGGCAGGGGTCCCGGAGCGGGCGGGTCTGGGTGTGCGCGCAGTGTCTGCGAAGCTCTCCAGGCCGGGAAACCCCCACCTGTCTACGTCAACTCTTATTAAATAGTCTTTCTACGGCATCTCTCGAGCCCAAGAGTTAGAGGCTGCAGTGAGCTGCGATCGCGCCAGAAGCACTCCAGTCTGGTCAAGAAAGCGAGACTCTGTCTCAAAAAAAAGTATTTTCTATGGTTGTTTAGGATTAGAGATTGACTTTCTCCACCTAGTTCCTTGAGGACAGAGGGCTTCTGTCTTCCTCAGTTGTCTGGTACAATTACAGATCCTCAAAAAATGTGTTGAATGAATGAATGACGTAGTATCAGCGTATGCAGAGGCAAGAGAAACCTGGTATTGGACGAATCGTGTAGGGCTCATGGTAGCGAAGTGAGGGAGTAAGATAGAGATAGTTAGGGATGTGAACACAAAGGACCGTGTACTGTAGCCTCCGTTAAGAAATATAGATTATATTGAGGGTGGTAGGGAGCCATGGATGTGAGTTGAGGAGTGAGTTGCTCAGATCCATATTTTGTAAACATCACTGGATTGAGAACTTAGTCAAAGGTAGTCAGGATTGGAGACTAGGAAATCAGGATGGCTGTAGACCACGTGAGGGCTGGTGGTAGCCTGCACCAAGGCAGCAGCAGTGGGATGGAGAGAAGTGGACAGGTTGGAGAGGTGTTCTGGAGGAGGAATGAACAGAACTCAGTACTTGTATGAGGCTGGGAGGGAAAAGGCATTGAGAATGACTCCTTGAATTTTGGCTTGAGCAGCCAGATAGGTTGTGGGTGTCATCTCTACTGAAACTGAGGAGTAGAGAAGAGAAGCAGATTTGGAGGGAGATGGCTAATTCACTTTTGGGGTTGTCACGGTTGATGTGCGTGTGAAAAGCCAGAGTTTGGACTGTATAAAGCCATTGGGAGTCAGTATCTGGGTGGCCAGTGAAGCTTGTAGGGCTGATGGCTCACAGGGTTGTGGGGTGTGCCTTATGCTGTGCTGAGGCACAGGATCCAAGGAATAAAGAGACGGGACGCAGAAGTACAGGGAAAACGCAGCTGGGCTCGAGGGGCACGCCCCTATGAGCGGAGTCAGGTGAGGCCCCGAATGTCCAGAAGCGTGAGTATTTATTGTGTATAGGTTAGGGGGCAGGGCAGTGAGTGAAGTCATCTTTAAGGGTAGTGAAAGGGTTGTGAGCAATAAAACAAGGGGTCCACCCCCATTAGGTCACCTAGGCTGGGAGGTGGACAGTGCGCAGCAAGGAGTCCATTCCCATTAGGTCGTCCAGGCAAGGGCCGTGTGCAGTAAGGGGTCCACTCCCATTAGGTCACTGAGGCATGGAGGTGGGCCATGTGCAGTGAAGAGGGTGCCGTGTGCAATACCTCTATCTATAGGCAAGCTACTAAGAAGATTTATAGGAGGATGCTTTAAGTCACATAGCAGTGACAGAGCTGCCAGGGTCTATGCCACCTGCTGGCAGCTTTCAATGAATTATATAGAGGAATGCTTTTTGAGCAGCACAGTAATAAGAGCTGATAAAGTTCACCGTCATTAAGGTGTGATTGCCGGTCTAAGGGCAGCCTTCCACAAGAACTGGAGCAAGGTCCTACAACTCCTTTATCAGGAGGAGTGGCTCTCGCCCCAAGCCTGCCATACAGCGGGTATCTTTATAATAGTGAATGCTGCCGCCTAGGCCATGGATGCTTGTCCTGGTATAACTCTTTTTCCCCTTAAACCATACTGTGCAGTGTCTGTTCTAGGCATTCCTCCGATTATAAGCTGCTTATTCCTTAATTCATGCTCTGTACTGTATATACTCTAGGCATTCCTCTGATTATAAACTTAGATATAGTTATGTATGTATGTATATGGAAATAACTGAGTGGTAAGATATTCTTTAGGCACTCATTCTGTGAACTAATGTGTGATCATGTAGAGAGGATTGTATAAAGGGAAGTAACTGAGTAGTAACACTATAAACAGATACTCTCTAAGCCCTAATTCTATAAACTAATATACGACTATATAAAAGGAAATAACTGAGTAGTAATACTATAAACTGAGATATTCTCTAGGTCTTAATTGTGCCAGGATTCTGCTTAGCTTTTCTTCCTCGGTACCTATATGGGGGGTTACCCACGAGGCTCCCAAAATAATGTGTCATGAAAAGCCAGGGTCAGGAATAGCACCTGAGAAATGCCCTTATTTTAGTAGTAGGCAGAGAAAGATGTTACCAAAAAAAGGAGATAGGAACCAAAAAGGCAGGAAAACCTTTGTGTCATGGGATCTTTAGAAAGAGGCTATTGTTAGAAGGAGGGAGTGATCAACCGTCCCACACACTACGGGACATCAAGCAAAACCAGACCTGAAAAGAGCCCATTAGATTTAGAAATAAGGAGGCTGGTGACTTTGGAGAGCACCTGGAGAGATTGGGATCCAGGGCCCAGGTGGAGAGAGGAGCCTTTGAGATAAAGGAAAAGGTAAGATGCAGGATAGGAATGCAGGAAAGGAAGAGCTCATGGTGGCAGCTGGTTGAAGGAGTTCATCTGAGGGTGTTCAGTAAGTGATTTGCTGTTTGTGAGGTGAGTGGAGCAGGCCTGTAGTGCTTATTTATCTGTGTCCTCAGCGTCCAGCACAGAACAGGCACCAATAAGTGTTTCTTGACTCCCTGAGTCCCACAAAGGACAAGGTCATGCAGCTGCCATATTTCCTGTCCTGTTGGGAGAAACATACACAGAAATGACTTGATTGTGAATTCGGGGGAGAGCAGTTAATTCTGATCAGTCATTGAACAGGACTTCATGAAAAAGGTGGTGTTTGATTTTTGCATTTGGATAGGATTTTGCCAATGAGAACAAGACCAGAGAGGACAGTTTAGGTTGAAGACACAGAATATATAAAAGTGGAGAGGTCCAGGGGCAGTGGCTCACACCTGGTACAATCCAAACACTTTGGGTGGCCCAGGTGGAGGATCAGTTTAGTCCAGGAGTTTGAGACCAGGCTGGTCAACATAGTGAGACCCCATCTCTAAAAACAAAACAAACAAAATTAGCCAATTTTGGTAGCAGGCACCTGTAGTTTCAGCTACTCAGGAGGCTGAAGCAGGAGGATTGCTTGAGCCTGGGAGGTCAAAGCTGCACTGAGCCAAGATCATGCCACTGCACTCCAGCTTGGGCAACAAAGTGAGACCTTGTCTCTTTCAAAAAAAGAAAAAAAGGAGAGGGCAGAGTGGGGGGCTGCAGTAGTTTGGATCTCTTGGGTTAGGAAAGGAAGATGTGAGAAGAGGCAGGAGTCTGAGGCTAGACTTGGGCAGAGGAGCTGCTGGGGAGCTTGGGTGGAAGAAGCTGCTGTTTTCTGGTGTTTCAGCAGGCCCAGGTGCTGGTGAGGGGCCCTCATCTTTGATCCTGCAGCTGGAGCCAACGATGCTGGCTTCTTGGCCCTATGTTCAGCTCCTGAACCATGCTTCTTCTTATTCCAGCTGCCAGCTCCAAAACTAGCTCAGGCGATGCCTCCTCACTCAGCATCGAGGAGACCAAGTGAGTACTGTCTTCCTTGTTTCTACTTTGTGTTTCTAAGAGAGGTGGCTCTGGGGCCAGCACCGGGGTGGCTTTGTCACACGAAAATATGCTAATTGGAGTTGGAAAGGTCCTATAAATCATCTTAGCCAAGGTTTGAGTTATAGAAGAAAAAACTAAAACTCAGAGGAAGGTGGCATTCGCTGGTTAGATGCAGGCCAGGCTGGCGCCCATGTTTCCTGCTTTGGAAGCCAGGGCCCTTCCCAGTGTCCCAGGCTGTGGGTCAGACCATGTGTTTGGGATCCATGGGACCACTCACTCCCACCCTGTTTGGCCTCCTGTCTGTCTAGAAATGCACATGATGCCCTGTGTCTTTGATAGCCCCTAACCCTTGTGTCTCTTATTCTCAGTAAACTCCGGGCAAAGTTGGGGCTGAAACCCTTGGAGGTCAATGCCGTCAAGAAGGGTGAGTATAGGGCTGAGGTTGGGGTTTGGGTGGGGAAAGAGGCCATCTGAAGGAAGGAGGGGTTAGAGGCAGATTCAGCACCATTTAGTGGTCTTACTCATGCATATTTGCCGGGAGGTATGAGGGCCTTCCTTGCTGTTATAATGGGGATCTGGGGCTCTGCTTGGTCTCCGAGTTGGAGCCGTGGCCATTGCATACTCACTGTGGCTGTGTGGTGTTGTTAGATGGACTGAAAGACGTGCACACTTGCTGCAGACTGGGCTGGGGAGAGGTGGGTTTGTTGTTTTTCTTCAAAGCACAATTTGAGGGGCTTTGGAAGGCACAGAGGGTCCTGTCGTGCTGCGTGGGTTGGCCAGGAGTGTGGGGGTGAAGTGGGAGCAGGGAGGTAAAGGATTCTTCCTTCCTGTCCTGACCCCTTCTGGCCCCCTGAGCTGGAAGGGGGCAGGGTGAGTGGCTCCCTCCTCTCCCCACCAGCCATGGGCGGGCATAGCCTCACGTCTGGGCCCCCATTCCAGAGGCGGGCACCAAGGAGGAGCCCGTGACAGCTGATGTCATCAACCCTATGGCCTTGCGACAGCGAGAGGAGCTGCGGGAGAAGCTGGCGGCTGCCAAGGAAAAGCGCCTGCTGAACCAAAAGCTGGGGTGAGGGGTCCTGGCCAGAGCAGGAAAGGGAAGGGCTAGGGAGGCCACCATCCTTGGCTGCCTCTTGGGTGGGGAGCAGGAGCCGGGCTCCTCAAGCATCACTGTCTCCCCTCCTCAGGAAGATAAAGACCCTAGGAGAGGATGACCCCTGGCTGGACGACACTGCAGCCTGGATCGAGAGGAGCCGGCAGCTGCAGAAGGAGAAGGACCTGGCAGAGAAGAGGGTGAGCGCCGGACAGCATGGGGTGGTTGCCTGGTGCCTCTGGTGGCCTGACTGGGCACTGAGGCAGGAGCCGACCCCGGAGCGGTGAGACGAGGCCTGGAGAGGGAAAAGGCCACGGCCGCTAGCGTCCGCTTTGGGTTCTCCGCAGCTTGCCTGCAAGGCCGGCCCTTTTTACACTCCCGCTTGGTAGAGCCCTGCGTGTTTTCTGGTGATGCTGAGCGGCCTGAGGTCCTAGGTCACCCCTCCCTGTTTCATAGGCCAAGCTACTGGAGGAGATGGACCAAGAGTTTGGTGTCAGCACTCTGGTGGAGGAGGAGTTTGGGCAGAGGCGGCAGGTGAGGCTGCAACGACCGGGACACAGGGGCACAGGGGCACTGGCAGCCTTGCTACAGGGATCCCAGTGTTGGGTGGGTGGAGGGAGGTTCCTAACTCACCGTTTCTTCCCTTAGGACCTGTACAGTGCCCGGGACCTGCAGGGCCTCACCGTGGAGCATGCCATTGCTTCCTTCAGAGAAGGGGAGACCATGATCCTCACCCTCAAGGACAAAGGTGACATGAGCTGGGCGACTGGCGGGGGGGCACAGCCTCTGCTGAGTTGCGGGCAAGTGTGAACGGCCACTGCCCTGTGCTGCCCCCAGGCGTGCTGCAGGAGGAGGAAGATGTGCTGGTGAACGTGAACCTGGTGGATAAGGAGCGGGCAGAGAAAAACGTGGAGCTGCGGAAGAAGAAGCCCGACTACCTGCCCTATGTGGAGGATGAGAGCGTGGATGACCTGGCACAGGCACGCGGCAGGCAGGCTGGGCGGTGGGGGATGGGGCGGAGAATGTCGGGAGTCGGGGCTCTGAGGAGGTGGTGGCTCAGTGGCTTTTCAGGGGCCAGCCTGGGTTCCAACCTGTACCTCTTGCCTTGCAGCAAAAACCTCGCTCTATCCTGTCTAAGTACGACGAAGAGCTTGAGGGGGAGCGGCCGCACTCCTTCCGCCTGGAGCAGGGCGGCACAGCTGATGGCCTGCGGGAGCGGGAGCTGGAGGAGATCCGGGCCAAGCTGCGGCTGCAGGCTCAGTCCCTGAGCACGGTGGGGCCCCGGCTGGCCTCCGAGTACCTCACGCCTGAGGAGATGGTGAGCCCTCTCGCGCCTCGTACTCGGTATCACAATTCTCCCTCCCTCTCCGCTCGAGCACTGCCCGTAGGCACTCAGGAGAGAGGGCGAGTGTTCATGTTCACAGAGTGCTTGGCCTTGTGGGCGAGCAGTAAATGGCATCCGGGGGAGTACCGGGTGGGGACGGATCAGGGCTGCCACATGGTTCTCAGTCTGTGTTCAGGCTCTGCCATGTTGCCAGCCCGTGCCCTGGCTGAGCCATTTAACTGTGAGCCTGGGGCACCCCATCTGGAGTGGCAGTGACAAGAGTCGCCTCCTGAGGTTGCTGTGAGGATGAGTGACAGCATGGGTGAGGGGTGACTGGAAAGATGTGTGTGGCTCTTGCCTGTGGAGTGACTGTGTAACATGAGGTAGACGGCCAATGCAGGGGGTAAGGTCTTGCTAAGTGGGTAAGAGCAGGACTTGAGCCAGACTGCCCCACCTCCCTCACTTAGGAGTGGGCAACCTTGGCAAAGTCCTTAACCTCTCTGTGCCCCAGTTTCCCCATCTCACGAGTGGATTGGAGATAGTAAGCACCCCACGTGTTGCTCATGTGTGGGAATCGCTCAGCAGACTGGCTAGCACAGAGGAACACCAAAGAGGTTCGCCCTTGAGGGCCGTGGTGGCCCGCCTCTCCCCCGCCCCTGCTCTATGTCTCTCCTCTCTTCCTCTCAGGTGACCTTTAAAAAGACCAAGCGGAGGGTGAAGAAAATCCGAAAGAAGGAGAAGGAGGTAGTAGTGCGGGCGGATGACTTGCTGCCTCTCGGGGACCAGACTCAGGATGGGGACTTTGGTTCCAGGTGGGCTTAGACACGATGGTAGGAGGAGAGGGCTGGGCTGGGGTGGCCTGGGGGCTGGCGCTCACCAGAGAGGCCTTCTTCCCTCAGACTGCGGGGCCGGGGTCGCCGCCGAGTGTCCGAGGTGGAGGAGGAGAAGGAGCCCGTGCCTCAGCCCCCGCCATCAGACGACACCCGGGTGGAGAACATGGAAATCAGTGATGAGGGTGAGGGCCCGGCACGGGGTCGAAGGGGGGCAGGGACAGGGTTGGGGAAGATGGTCTGAGCAGGCATCCCCTGTGTATCTCCCAGAGGAGTATGGAGCTCCGCCGCCACCGGGGTCCCCACAGGTACTGGAGGAGGACGAGGCAGAGCTGGAGCTGCAGAAGCAGCTGGAGAAGGGCCGTCGGCTACGACAGCTGCAGCAGCTGCGAGACAGTGGTGAGAAGGTGAGGCTGGGTGCGGGCAGGCCTGGGGCTCCCGGTGCATTGGCACTCACCTGTCCTCACGAGCACATGCCCCTGTGTCGTGGCAGGCAGCCACATTCCCATCTGAAGCCTCTTTTCTGTTTGTTTTTTGGGTGGGTTTTTTTTTTTTTTTTTTTGAGACAGTTTCACTCTGTCACCCCAGCTGAAGTGCAGTGGTACGATCTCTGCTCACTGCAACCTCCGCCTCCTGGGTTCAAGCGATTCTCATGCCTCAGTCTCCCAAGTAGCTGAGATTATAGGCACCCACCACCGAATCTGGCTAATTTTTGTATTTTTAGTAGTGACGGGGTTTCACCAGGCTGGTCTTGAACTCCTGACCTCAGGTGATCTGTCCACCTCAGCCTCCCAAAGTGCTGGGATTACAGGTGTGAGCCACTGTGCCCGACCCTGTTTTCTGTTCATGTTTTGTGCAGGTTTTGAGACGTCTGCAGTGTTTTCACCACCAGATGCCTGCTTTAGTGGGGGATCCTTTCCTCTCCTTTCTCTTCCTGTGTGTGTTTGTTTTTTTTTGTTTTTGTTTTTTTTTGAGACGGAGTTTCGCTCTTGTTACCCAGGCTGGAGTGCAATGGTGCGATCTCGGCTCACCGCAACCTCCGCCTCCTGGGCTCAGGCAATTCTCCTGCCTCAGCCTCCTGAGTAGCTGGGATTACAGGCACGCGCCACCACGCCCAGCTAGTTTTTTGTATTTTTAGTAGAGATGGGGTTTCACCATGTTGACCAGGATGGTCTCGATCTCTCGACCTCGTGATCCACCCGCCTCGGTCTCCCAAAGTGCTGGGATTACAGGCTTGAGCCACCGCGCCCGGCGTGTGTTTGTTGAATGCGTACTGTGAATAGTGCATTATTCTTGGGCTGGGAGGGTCATTGGTGAACAGGACAGCCATAGGGCCCTGGGTTCATGGAGCTGGCTTTCTAGAGTGTGTGGGGGAGAGGGGTGGCAGCAGGTGGACAGGCTGGCGTTTAGGCCATAGACCAACCAGGAGGTATCTCAGAGTGAGAGGGTGGCATGAGCTGAGATGGAGAGGCCGGGGCCAGTGCAGGGGGAGCCTGGAGCCCATGGCCGTCACTGCCTCACTGGCACAGTGTGCTGGGCCCTGCTCTCGGGTTCTGTGTTTGTTCCTATGAGGAAGGTTCTGTCACCTCCATCGTTGCTGAGGCCACATTTTTAGCCCTGCCCCACACTTTTTACCTAGGAAAAAGCCAAGAAAGGGTATCCAGGAGAGGGAGTGAGGGAGGGAGGCTTCTGATACGACTGGGAGGTAAACTGGAGACTGTTCAAGCGGATTCAGGCCTGGGAGGATGAGAGTTGAGAAGGTGAAAGTTGCGCCTGGGATGGAGGGCAGGCTTGGTGTTGAAGGGCTGCAGAGGACAGATTTGAGGTTTAAGGGTGTGTGGTCTCTGTCAGGCCCCTTGTGTGCTCTGCTATTGTAGGAAAAACAGCCAAGACAATCTGTGAGTGGGGCGTGGCTGGTTTCCAGTGACACTTTATTTCTAGGTAGTGGGACAGTAGTTTGCCTGGCCTGTCTGTAAAAAAGAACAGAGAAGGCCGGGCGAGGTAGCTCGCGCCTATAATCCCAGCACTTTGGGAGGTTGAGGTGGACGGATCACGAGGTCAAGAGATCGAGACCATCCTGGCCAACATGGTGAAACCCCATCTCTACTAAAAATACAAAAATTAGCTGGGCATTGTGGCACACGCCTGTAGTCCCAGCTACTCGGGAGGATGAGACAGGAGAATTGCTTGAACCTGGGAGGCGGATGTTGCAGTGAGCTGAGATCATGCCACTGTACTCCAGCCTGGTGCCTGGCGATGGAGCAAGACTCTGTCTCAAAAAAAAAAAAAAAAAAAAAAAAACAAAACCCAAAAAATATGAGAAATGGGGTAATAGACTGATAGGGCTGTGCGTTTTATGACTGAAATGAACATAAGGGTTATTAGTCCCGAGGTTCATAGCCTGCTTGCACATTAGACACCTAGGAGGTTGTTTTTGTTGTTGTTTTAAGAAACAAGGTCTCACTCTGTTGCTCGGGCTGGAGTGCAGTGGTGCGGTCATAGCTCACTGCAGCCTTGAAATGCCAGGCTCAAGGGATCCTTCTGTCCCAGCCTTCCAAGTAGCTGAGACCACAGGCATGCACCACCACACCTGGCAAATTAAAAAAAATTTTTTAGCAACAAGGTCTCATGTTGTTGCCCAGGCTGTTCTCAAACTCCTGGGCTCAAACGATCCTCTCGCCTCTACCTCCCGAAGTGCTGTGGTTACAGGCATGAGCCACCTGGCCTGGCCTAGCCTAGAAAGTTTTTAAAATATATGAGTCCACACCCCACACACCATACCAGCAGAAAAGTGAGTGTATCACGGTGAACACCTGTGTCTTCTAGAGTCAGTAATTATAAACATTGTTAAACTTCTTTTCTTTTTTTTCCTGAGCCACTGCAAGTTGCAGATATGGTGACACTGTACCCTTAACTACTTCGGCGGGCATTTCACGAAATAAGGGACTTCTGCATAGCCATGCTGCCCCAACGAGTCCATTAATGCTGTAAAACAGCAGCTCACATGCCCCCATTTTCCAGTGAGCTCCCAAAATGTCTTTTTAATTTTTTGTTTTAACCAGTATCCAATCAAGTTTCATACCCACAAAGGAGTCTTTTTCTGACTAATGGAGATTCTGGAGTATGTGGGAGAAACAAATTAATGATGAAAGAAGAAAAGGAGATTTTTGCAGGCAGTTGGTGGGGCCTAGAGTACAAGTGGAGGGTGGCCTTGAGCGAAGCCAGGTCATGTCATTTATTTCAGGAGGGAAGGTGGGGAGGTTACAGCAGCTACAACCTAGGTGACCTTGGTTGGGGGAAGTCAAGAGCAGCCCATGTCCGATTGTTCCGGTGTTTTCCAGTGACGAGGTGGCAGGGGTAGGCAGTTCAAGGAGACGTGAGATGCTATTTTGGAGGGTGGAGGGCAGGTACACCATGGAAGAGGAACAGACCTGCTGGGCAGTGCGGGCTGCCTAGCCGTTCCCGATGGCCTTGGATGTGATGGGTTTTCTGTCCAGCTGCTCCATGCGATCAGCTGAAGAGGAGGATGGTGGGATTAATGGGGAGCTGAGGAGGAGGATGGTGGGATTAATGGGGAGCTGAGGAGGAGGATGGTGGGATTAATGGGGAGCTGAGGAGGAGGATGGTGGGATTGAGGATTGGGTTTTCTAGGGAGGAGAGGCAGGACAGTTAAGGTTTTCATAAAGGGGAGGTTCTGTTGATGTACCCCAACTCTAAACTGGGTAATGGGGGACATAACAGAGTGATGGGTGTGAGGACTGGCCTGGAGTCATGATGTTGTTGAAGAATTACTGGATTGTGGTTAATACAGTCAGTGAACTAGAAAGAAAGGATGTAGAGGACAGAGAGGATCCTTGGAATTGAGGGTTTTTTTTTGTTTTAGTTTTGAGACAGCGTCTCACTCTCTCCCAGGCTAGGGTGCAGTGGTGCTATCTCGGCTCACTGTAATCTCCACTTCCCAGGTTCAAGTGATTCCTGCCTTAGCCTCCTGAGTAGCTGGGACTACAGGCGCATGCGACCATGCCCAGCTAATTTTTCTGTATTTTTAGTAGAGATGGGGTTTCAGTCATGTGGGCCAGGCTGGTCTCGAACTCCTGACCTCAGGTGATCTGCCCCACCCTCGGTCTTCCAAAGTGCTGGGATTACTGGTGTGAGCTTCCTTGTGGCCTGGGTCCCAACCCTGATGACCTCATTTAAACTTAATTACCTCCTTAAAGGTGCTCTGTCCAAATACAGTCATTGGGGAGTTAGGGCTTCTCTGTATGAATTTGGGGGGTACACAGTTCCTGGAGAGGACAATATTGCAAAGATGTCGTCTTGTCTAATTCATTTCTAGGTTAAATGCAATCCCAGTAAAAATCCCAATGGGGACTTTTTTGGAACCTGGCAAACTGATTCTGAAATTGGATAAAGTAGGGTAATTGTGGCAGTGTGGGATTGTGGAAGGACAGACTAATAGGGCAGAGAGACCAGACGGGCCCCAAGACAGAATCGCATCCCAGTGGAAGAGATGCTCGTCAGTGCGGCGAGTGGGCTTGGGACTGTCAGTTATCTATTTGCGGAAAAAATGAAATTGGGTTTGTACCTCACACCTTGCAGATAGATTAAGAACTTCAAAGTAAAAACCTAACATTTCAGAACCAAATTAAGGAAATTACATTTATGATTTTTTGGTAGAAAAGATTTTTTAAGCTGTAAGCATAGCCAAGGCAGAAGAATTGCTTGAGGCTAGGAGTTTGAGACCAGCCTGGGCAACATAGCAAGACCCCTACCCCCACCCCCATCTCTAAAAAATTTTTTTTAATTAACTGGGCATGGTGGCATGTGTCTGAAGCCTCAGCTATGCTGGAGGCTAAGGCAGGAGGATTGCTCAGCTATTGTTGCACCACTGCACTCCAGCCTGGGTGATAGAACAAGATCCTGTCTCAGAAAAACAAACAAACCAAGAAACCCACACGTTCCGTGGGTGGGTTTCTTCAGGAAACCATGAAGAAAAAAATGAACATGTTGGCCGGGTGTAGTGGCTCACGCCTATAATCACAGCACTTTGGGAGGCCAAGGCAGGCAGATCACAAGGTCAAGAGTTTGAGACCAGACTGGCCAATATGGTGAAACCCCGTCTCTACTAAAAATACAAAAATTAGCTGGTGTGGTGGCACACACCTATAATTCCAGCTACTTGGGCAGGCTGAGGCAGGAGAATCGCTTGAACCTGGGAGGCAGAGGCTGCAGTGAACCGAGATTGTGCCACTGCTCTCCAGCCTCGGTGACAGAGCAAGACTCTTGTCTGGGAAAAAAAAAAAAAGAAACACACACACACACACACACACAAACACACAAAAAAAACCACACATGTAGTTACATAGAAATTGAGAAGGTAAGTTTTTGTTTGTTTTTTACAAAAGATATCATGAAGCATAGAAAAAGGCAGACCAGAAGGGAAGATATTTGCCCACAAATACAACCAAGAATGGGTTGGTGTCAAGAGTATACAAACAGACAGAGCAGATCAACAACACGGAAGACTAGGTGAAAGATGTAGGTAAGACAGGCGGTTCACAGAACAGAAAGCCTGACTGACTGGGAAAGTACTCGGCAAGCCCAGCTTCAGGAGGGGTCACAGAAAGGTGAGCCAAAACAGTGAGGCAGCTGGCGCCCCCAAACAATTCCACAGAAAGGTCTAACCCTGACAGTAGCAAGTAGGAATAAGGACGTGGAGCAGCCAGAATCCTCAGCCACGCTGCTCACCGCCATGGCCATGAGGTTAATCAGACAAGAGAGGGAACGTGTGTGTGCCTGGGCCACCCCCACCTTTCACTCCCGAGTGTGCCCCACGTGCACCAGGAGACAGTGTCAGTGGCCTGCAGCCGCACTACTTGTTCCAACAGAAAAAAAATAGTCCATCCTCAGTGGCCAGATCAGGGAGCATCCAGCTATGGGTTGTGATTCCATACTGTAAACTGATGAGCTACAGCCACTTGCATCAGGGGTACTCTCAGAGGCAGAGATTTTTTTTACAAAAGAAATCATAGAATCTGAGTCATACAGTATGGTTCAGGTTATGTAACACTTAATATACAACACAATTAACTATTCTGGGGCAGGTCCTTATGTGGTAGAGCCATGAAGACAAGCCAGTGAGTCATGACCACGGATGGAGGGAACACTCAGGACTGTTAGTGATGTTGCTCCAGCCCCAGGCAGAGGGATGTGTATATGTTTAGTTACTGTTTTAAAAAGCATATTAGCTGGGCTTGGTGGCTCAGGCCTGTAATCCCAGCACTTTGGCAAGCTGAGGCGGGCAGATCACTTGAAGTCAGGGGTTCGAGACCAGCATGGGCAACATGATGAAATCCTCCCTCTACTAAAAATACAAAAACTAGCTGGGCATTGTGGCTTGCACCTGTAGTCCCAGCTACTCAGGAGACTGAGGCAGGAGAATCCCTTCAACCCAAGGAAGCAGAGGTTGCAGTGAGCCGAGATCACACCATTGTGCTCCAGCATGGGTGACAGTGAGACTATCTCAAAAAGTAAATATATGGGTCAACAGAACAAAATCTCATAGAAAAAAAGAAAAAAAAGAGAAAATAAATAAATAAATAGCATATGATGAGTTCGATATGCCCCCTTTTATGTTTATGATGAAGTTATTAAAAAATAAATGTTCCTGGATGTCCTGGAATTTTTTTTTTTTTTTGAGACAGGGTCTTGCTCTGTTGCCCAGGCTGCAGTGCAGTGGCAAGATCACAGCCTACCACAGCCCGACCTCCAGGCTTAAGTGATCCTCCCACCCCAGCCTCCCAAGTAGCTGAGACTGCAGGCGTACACCACCATGCCTGGTTGATGTTTACAGTTTTTGTAGAGATGGGGTTTCACCTTACTGCCCAGGCTGGTCTTGAACTTCTGGGCTCAAGTGATCCTCCAGCCTTGGCTTCCTAAAGTGCTGGGATTACAGATGTGAGCCATCGCAGCTGGCCCCTGGAATAATTTTTTTTTTTTTTTTTTTTTTTTGAGACAGGGTTTCACTCTGTTGCCCACACTCTGAGTGCAGTGCTGTGATCTTGGCTCACTGCAGTCTTGATCTCCCAGATTCAAGCAGTCCTCCCACCTCAGCCTCCCAAGTAGCTGGGACTATAGGCTAATTTATATATTTTTTGTAGAGATGGCATTTGGGCATGTTGCCCAGGCTGGTCTCAAACTCTCGAACTCAGATAATCTGCCCGCCTCAGATTTTTTTAAATGGAAGAGGGTGCAGAAGTGGACATGGCAACTCGAGCCTTCACTGAGGAGTTTGCTGTCAGGGCTTCAGGGTTGAGGGAGGAGTTTTTTAAAGAGGGGAGCTAGTGGGCAATTGTGTGTGTGGCCGGGCATCTACAACAGGAGGGAAAGCAGAGGGTACTAGTGCCCATGGGGGGGTCCTGGATTTAGTGCTGGTGGCACGAGTGGGTTCTCTTAGCATGTCATGACACCTGCTTTCTTGGTGAAGTGGGAAGCAAGAAGCCGGGCCGTGGGAAGTCTAAAGAGTGGGCCTCTCACCGCCCTGTGGGTTTTAGAAGTGCTGTCTACAGAGTCTTGAAACTGGAGTTTGTTGGGGGAGGGGCGGGTGGCAGGAGGGACCCTGGAGGAAGGTGCTTGAGGCTGAGGTAGTGTGCCATGGGCTTTGCAGCAGGGTTGGCACAGGCCTGGTCAGGAAGGCCCTGTAGGATGTTGGGTGTTCATTCAAAGGGTAGCCAAACCCATTGGCGGGCTGGGAGCAGAAGAGTGACCCCGGTGAAATAGGTGTAGAGTGGAGTCAAGAGGCAAAGATCAGCCAGGGCCCACATGGGCTGTGGGTGTGGCCTGTCTTGCTGCTGCCAGGGAGGACCCTTGGGTTCCTGGGTCCCAATGGCATCACCCCAGAAACTGCTGGGTTTGCCCACAGCTACTCCCTCCCCCAGGTGGTGGAGATCGTGAAGAAGCTGGAGTCTCGCCAGCGGGGCTGGGAGGAGGATGAGGATCCTGAGCGAAAGGGGGCCATTGTGTTCAACGCCACGTCTGAGTTCTGCCGCACCTTGGGGGAGATCCCCACCTACGGGCTGGCCGGCAACCGTGAGGAGCAGGAGGAGCTCATGGTGCGTCTGGGGCAGCCCTACCCTGGGCTTCCCTTGGCTGGGTAGGCTGGCTGGGGGCTAGGGGCTGGGGCTGACCCTGGTCTTTTGTGCCCCAGGACTTTGAACAGGACGAGGAGCGCTCGGCCAACGGCGGCTCTGAATCTGATGGGGAGGAGAACATTGGCTGGAGCACAGTGAACCTGGACGAGGAGAAGCAGCAGCAGGATGTGAGGGCCGCGCTGTCACCACGGGGGTGGGGCGGGTGGGGTGTGCAGGGGCGGGAGGGTCGAGCTGGAGATGAGTGCCCGGGCAAGTTGCTCGGTGTCCTCAGCCTCCTCATCCAGAGTGCGCTCTGCATTCCTCCCAGGGTGATCTGAGTATTACATGAGGAAATTGAATGAAGTTAAATGTGGCTGGTGCCTGGTGGGGGGTGACTGGTGGGTGGGGGTGAGAAGAGGCAGTGTGCCTTGCTAACCACCGCTGCCACGTGCCCCCCAGTTCTCTGCTTCCTCTACCACCATCCTGGACGAGGAGCCGATCGTGAATAGGGGGCTGGCAGCTGCCCTGCTCCTGTGTCAGAACAAAGGTAGGGAGCTCAGGGCAGCTGTGGCTTGGGTGGGCTTGGGTGCTTCGGCAGGAAAAGGGCTTGTGGGGGCTTCGGTGCAGCAGGTGCAGGCAGGGCTGCCTCCATCCTCTCTGCTGCCTCTTTCAGTCCCTATGCTAGAGCCAGCTGCCTGGCCCAGGGCCGCTCCTTCCCCTCCCCCTGGCATCTGTCTCTGCCTTCGGAGGCTCCACATGTGCTCCAGGAAGGAGAGGGGAGTTGAAATTGTTACAGCTGTAGCACAGAGAAGCCCTGATGTTAGGACCCCAGCTCTGCCATTTCCTTGGCCAGTGGCCCTTGGCAAGGGGACTCATTTCTGCACCTTTGCTTTAGAATAGGCCTGATGGCTTTCCAGAGGCAAGGAGAGGGAGGTGCCCCCCACAGGGCCCACTCCACCTTCTCAGGAGGCCCTGGAGCGGCGCCTCTCACAGGGTTGGGCAGCCTGGAGTTTCACAACCCCTCCATCCCTAGGGCTGCTGGAGACCACAGTGCAGAAGGTGGCCCGGGTGAAGGCCCCCAACAAGTCTCTGCCCTCAGCCGTGTACTGCATCGAGGATAAGATGTGAGTGTGCAGGGCTGGGGGTCCTGTGCCAGCTTGGGGCTGCAGGAACATGGCAGGCAGCTGCTTCTCACACTGAGGCCACCTTTATCTCGGGCCAGGGCCATCGATGACAAGTACAGCCGGCGGGAGGAGTACCGAGGCTTCACGCAGGACTTCAAGGAGAAAGACGGCTACAAACCTGATGTTAAAATTGAGTACGTGGATGAGACAGGCCGGAAACTCACACCGAAGGAGGTGAGCAGGGCCCTGTGCGGGCAGAGCCCTGGCCTGCGAAAGGGAGGCCGAGCCTGGGACTGTGCAGTACCCCAGGGGCCTGGTGAAGTGCCACGGATCGGGAGGGGGCGCTCAGGGTTGGGAAGAGCTGTGCCTCAGTTTCTGTCTCTAGTGAGCACAGCAGTCCCTTGGCAGGCCTGGCAGGAGGATCAGACAGGCACTCGGGACCTCTGTCCTCCTGTCTCTCACCCGAATGAGCCCTTCACCGGCTTTCCTGGCCTGCAGGGCCATTCCATCGTCCTGGCCCTTCCAGTGCCCTCGTAGGCTGCCCGACCCTCCTGCCCCCCAACTCAGCTGCCCCCATGCTCTCCCGGGTTTGTCTCCCTCCAGCCCCAGCCTCCAGCCTTAGCCCCTACGAAGCAGGTCTCACTCCAGGTTCCCTGTGCCCTGCACCCATGGCAGCACATCTGCTAGCCAAGCTGGTCTCCCGGCCTCTGCTGGGGCCCTGGAGGGTACCAGAGTCTGTGCCCTTTTCCCATCCCCTTCCCACTGCCTCCTAGGCCTGGCACTGGGTGAGGTGAGTCAACACCTGACCCCACCTGCCCTATTACACACCTTGTGGGCACAGGTGGCTCTGGCCCCAGCCAGGGCCCTGCAGCTCCCCTCATGCCCTGTGTCCCCAGGCCTTCCGGCAGCTGTCCCACCGTTTCCACGGCAAGGGCTCAGGCAAGATGAAGACGGAGCGGCGGATGAAGAAGCTGGACGAGGAGGCGGTCAGTGCCCTTGGGGACGTGGGGGACCCTGCACCTGCCAGGGCAGGGGTGGCTGGTGTGGGGGGCCTGCTCCAGCCCTTGCTGAGTGTCCATGACCCTGCAGCTCCTGAAGAAGATGAGCTCCAGCGACACGCCCTTGGGCACCGTGGCTTTGCTCCAGGAGAAACAGAAGGCCCAGAAGACCCCCTACATTGTGCTCAGCGGCAGCGGCAAGAGCATGAACGCGTGAGTGGCTCGAGGCTGGTGGGGTGGTACAGGGTGGCCTGGCCTGCGCCTGCCTTAGTAGCCTCACGTCCCTGTTCTCTCTGCAGGAACACCATCACTAAGTGACGGCGCCCTCCATCCCCCGCCCCGCCTCAACCTTGGTATTAAATAAAGCTCCCTCCTTAGTTTTTCCTCCCTGGTCGTGGTACAGATTCCAGGGTTAGATCCTTGGTCGGGTGTGGCCCAGAGTCTGGCTCCCACTAGGTGAGACCCGGCCATCAGATTACACAAATAACTAAATGACGGGAGAGAGCCCCGGTCCTCTACGGCTTCTTCTCCCCTGGCCGTCAGTCACACCTCTGCAGGGCCGGCTCTCTGATGGAAAGTGGAGGCAGTTTGAGAAACTCGTCACCCTGCTCTCTCCTGGCCTCCAGGGCTGATAAGTCACTGTCCTGTCAGAGAACCCAGGGCAGCCCCAGACTGCCCAGCCAGGTGTGTGGGGATTGGGCTTTGTGCAGGGCACAGGTGCCATCTTCTGTCCTGGCTCTCCTGTGTCGCCATGGTCTGTGTCTAGAGGAGTGAAACTCCCAAGGTTGGGCTGGGATTTTTTGGTGTGCAGAGTATGGGGAGGGCTGAGCCCAGTGCCTCCTGGACCTGACCTGAGCTCTGTGATAGAGCTAGACCGAGTTGCTGGCGGACATGTGAGCCTCAAATCCATAGAAAGACAAACAGCTACCTTGGGTGCCCAGGACACTGGTGCCCAGCCACATGTACACCCACATATTTCCCAGGTGGCACCCACGTTTTAAGATTTAAAAAAGGAAACCAAAAAATAAATAGAATAAAACTGAACTTACAATCAGCCGGGCATGGTGGCTCACACCTGTAATCACAGCACTTTGGGAAGCTGAGGCAGGAGGATCGCTTGAGCCTAGGAATTTGAGACCAATCTGAGTAGCATGGCAAAACCCCATCTCTACCAAAAATGCAAAGATTAGCCAGGCATGGTGGTGAGTCCCTGTGGTCGCAGCTACTTGGAGGCTGAGGTGGGAGGATCGCTGGAGCCCAGGAGGCACAGGCTGCATTGAGCCCTGATCAAGCCACTGCTCTCCAGCCTGGGTGACAGACAGACCCTGTCTAAAAAAAAATTTTTTTAAAATAATCTTTGGGTAAGAAAAGTGTAGACAAGGTGCAAAACCCAGTAGCCTGAAAATGCACAGTTGGCACTGATGCCCTTGCTTCTGCATGGCAGAAGGTGCAGGGCTGAGTTCGGGGTACCCTTCCTTGAGCTCTTTATCCTCTGTAGTTTGATGTCTGATTCTGATTCTGTTTTCACCTTGGCTGTGTCCTTGGCTTCCTCAGGAAGGGTGACCTGGGGTGTCTAGGCTGGGTCTAGGACTTGGGCAGTCACAGTCTGTTTCTCTCAAAAGCCTAGGAGGTGGCTGGGTGCGGTGGTTCATGCCTATAATCCCAGCACTTTGGGAGGCCGAGGTGGGTGGAACACCTGAGGTCTGGAGTTCTAGACCAGCCTGGCCAACATGGTAAAACCCCATCTCTACTAAAAGTACAAAAAAAAGTTAACATGGCATGGTGGTGTGCACCTTATAATCCTAGCTACTCAGGAACCTGAAGCAGGAGAATTGTTTGAGCCCAGGAGGCTGAGGTTACAGTGAGCTGAGATCGTGCCATTTTACTCAGGGCAACAGAGGAGTACCCTGTTTCAAAAAAGGTAAAAGAAGCCTAGGAGGTGCTCCTAGAGTTGGGACCAGTCAGTCAGGGGTCCCTGGCATGGAGCTCCGGCCCCGGCTGAGTGACCAAGCTCACGCCTTGACATCTGCAGGAAATGGCCCATTAGGAGGCTGTTGAACTGCTGTCACAGCTGAAAATGACCAAGGCCTGGACTAAAGCCAAGGTGGAGCCAGGGTAGAACAGACCAGCTTTGCCCCAAGGCCTGTTAACTTTCCAGCCCTAGTAACTAGGCAGACTGCGTGATGAACCGGGTGCCTCCTCATTCATGCCGCTGCATCTCTGGCTCTTGGTCTCAGCCCAGAGAGTTGTTCTGTGCCCTGGCATACTCTACCCCACTCCCCAGGCTGTGTCCTGCCTGTGTGCTGGGGGCTGGGGACTGCCAAATCCCTGGAGGCCTGAGCCCCTGGGGCGGACGAACCCAAGGAGGCTTCCCAGCTCTGCTGTTTGGTAGCCAGACAACACCTGGTGCTTCCCTACCCTCAGGTACCTGAGGGGCAGTGAGCCCTCAGCCAGGGCGTCAGGAGCCAGGTGGGTGGCACTCAGGGAGGAGAGGGTGCTTATGTTTGGCCTCTGCATTTCCCTTTACTGCTGCCTGACCTGGGGTAGGTCACCAAGTCTCCATCTCACCTATAAAATGGGGGTTGTGATCCCGCTTCTAGGGCTACCCTACTGCAGAGCTGAGGCCTGATCCTTCCACAACAAACAAAATGTACCCAGCATCAGCGAGCGCTGCCTAAGAACCCAGAGGAACAAAGCTGGACTGGCTGCCTGGAGCCATGGGGCTTGGGTCTCAAGGGCAAGCAGCCACTGCAAGAGTGCAGCTAGGTGTGAAGGATGGGAGCCGGCCCAGCCCCTGCCCTCCCAGGGCCTGTCTCCTCAGGATGTGCCTTCTGGGTGTGGCAATACCAACCCCAGCCCAGAGCCCAGTGGTCCAGTGCTGCATGGCCTTGGCTCTGAGCAAGGCCAGGTCAGGGTCCTCCCCTTGCCCTCAGGTCCTGCTCCTGTGCCCACGCCCTGCCTAGGTCTTCCAGGCTCCTCCAAGCCCCAGCCTGTGGCCCCAAACCTGCCCCACCCAGCTCCAGGCAGGGCCCTGCCTCTTTCTCCACAATTCAGAGATGCTCTGGAGGGCCCAGGCAGGCCCTGCCAGCACAGCCTCCCTGTGGACTTGGGAAAAGGTGCCGTCTGGGCAGTGGATGCAGGCCTCAGGAGCATGGCCTGGTGGGCAGATTCACGTCTATTCATCCTAGAGTGTGGTCCCTGGCGCCCCTCAGTGCCAAACCCATGATTGCCCTGGGACGTTGGCTCCCTGCCCTGCCCTCCCCAGCAAGAAGGGCTCAGCCCAGGTGTACACTGGGCAGTGGCTGAAAGTGACAAGCAGGCTGAGGACCTGGCTCTACTTGTGTCAGGTCTCTGGGCTTCAGTGCCATGGGTGGGAGGGGCAGACTGGTCCCAGGAAAGTGGGGGTTCAGCAGTAATTCAGTGGGGAAGAGCAGGATTAATTGGCTACAGTTCTCAGAGATCCGCCAGCAGACAGGTGGATAGTGGAGAGCAGGGTAGGGCCGGGGACCCTGGCAATAGCAAAAAGATTTTCCGAAACTAATACTGTTTAGAACCCATAGGAAGAGTTGCTGGAACAATACAGAGTTTCCCCTTGAACTATTTGACAATCAGTGGATGAAGGGATTGCACACCACCCCAACTAAGTGTGTGTTTCCTACAAACAAGGGCATTCTCTCACATAACCTAAGCCACCCAGGACGTTGAGAAAAGGGCCATCCATGCATCACTTCCACCTCATGTTAGACTCCAACTGTCCTAAGGTCTTTTTTTCTTGTATCATGACCTTGTTTGTTTGTTTATTTATTTATTTATTTATTTATTTATAGGCAGAGTTTCGCTCTCGTTACCCAGGCTGGAGTGCAATGGCGCGATCTCGGCTCACCGCAACCTCCACCTCCTGGGTTCAGGCAATTCTCCTGCCTCAGCCTCCTGAGTAGCTGGGATTACAGGCACGTGCCACCATGCCCAGCTAATTTTTTGTATTTTTAGTAGAGACGGGGTTTCACCATGTTGACCAGGATGGTCTCGATCTCTTGACCTCGTGATCCACCCGCCTCGGCCTCCCAAAGTGCTGGGATTACAGGCGTGAGCCACTGCGCCCAGCCTGACCTTATTTATTTACAAGCACTGGATGAGTCTCTGGCCTCCCCCAGGACAGAGCAACCCTACGCAGCCCCAGCCCAGTTAAATCCTGCAGTTGGGAGCTAAGGGGCTGGAGGGAGGAATGAAGGGAGATACAGGATTAGGGGCACATACCCCATTAAATGGTCACATGCAGGCCAGATCCTGTGAGCCTGCAGAGCCACAGCTGTCACCACCCCCACACCGGGATGCGGAAGGGAGGGAGCCAAGGCAGGCCCAGGGGTGTCCACGTGTCGTGCCCTGGAATGTGGAAGGGACAGGAATGGCTCTCAGGGAGTGTAAAATGGGAAGGACGAGGCTTGAACTGTCTTCTTGTGGGACCCAGTTTTCGGGACAACACCTGGTCCACTTTTCCATGAACACGGCAGCCTTGAGGAAGCGGCTGGCCAGCAGAGGCCCTGCCTACCCCAGGCCCGAGCACAGCCCGGCTCCTTCCCACTGTCCCCAGAAAGGACGGCGGCTGCTGGCTCCCAGCTCCCTTTGGGGAATCGCTTTCCCCACTGGGAAGGGGCCAAGCACAGCCTGTGAGTCCTCGTGGGGCTTAGGAGAAGCTCTGGACAGGGTGGCTGACCCTCAGGCAGGCCCAAAAGAGGGCCCAGCCCAAACACAGCAGGGCCAGCAAGATGACAGACACCAGGCTGCATAGAGGCCTCCATGTTGCCCTGCATACTTCCTTGGGCCAAAGCAGGCAGCAGATATGTCACTTCCACAGACATCTGCACCCATAGATGACACTTTCCTGCCATGAGGGTGGCACTCAAACTCTGTCCACGAAAGAGTATTCCTGCAGTGCCCACCGATGGCTCTGACACCTACCGGAGGTTCTGGATCCCACACTGATGATTTCTGTGCAGTAGGGCTGAGGGTAGGTAACCCTCTGGGAAGTCATTTTGCAGATGAGACAGGTGTGAGGACTTCAGACGTATTTCTCCTGCGTTCCGGATTGAAGCAGCTTTGTTGCAGGCACCAAGTTGACTACAAGCTGATGCGTCCTGACTTCTACCTTGATGAGCAGTGGGCACTCTTACTCCCCAGGCTGGTCAGGGTGAGTAGAGGGCTGGGTGTCCCTCATAGAAAGGGGTATGCCTGGGGTGGGGCAGGTTTACTGGCTTCACTCAGTGGTGCAAATGGGGTCAGCTCCTCTGGGCCCAGCCCCACCCCATCCTGCCCCACTAAATCATTGCCGGGGGCAGCCTCTCAATCTGCGGCCACCACTAGTGGGTCACTAGCCTAGTAATGTCCTT